AAGCACTCCTATGACCCTAGTGACGTCATAAATGACGTCACGCAAGGCAAACAATGCAAAAGTGAAGCATTAGACCTTACCAAGAATGTATGAAGTCACGATTTCATGTGCTTGAGGTATAGTTTCAGATAATTTCCGACGCCAAATTAACAGTTTCCATATTTCCGCATTATGCTTATATGACACTAAGTGCATTGCGAATTTGCATCATTTTATAACCGACAACCGTGCAGAGGCTTACCCATCGTAGTTAAACCTCATAGTTTTACCGTCATAGTTAACCCTCGCCCGCTGGGAGGGGCAATTGGGCCCCCGCCTGTGGTTTTTCCTGAATGGCAAGAAAACGGCGGCGCGCAGCGCCGCCAAATTTTTAGTACCTTTTGGGCATCAATTTGACACCTTCACACAAAATTTCAAGTCTTAAGTCACCTTAGGTCAGGAGTTATTGAGGTCAAACTGAGGTCACGTTCGAGCAAAAATGAGCAAAAAACATGAAATCTTGAAACGCTCCCAAAAGCTACAGTTACCAAGCAATTTCAAAGTTCTTTATATGGTCATGTAGAAAAAAAGGTGGCGCTACAAAACTGCTATCTCAGATTTTCAGAATTGTGGGATTTTGACCCCAAAAATGAAAAAAATTGTGTTTTAAGAAAAACGTAAAAAATACGAAAATTTTCCGAACTTCGAAAAAAAACGGAATATATGTGATAGTCCCTGAGCCTTTCTGTATACATACCAATTTTAAAATCGATACCTCCTTTTTTTGGCCAAGCTATAGCGAAAAAAAACTGTTCAAAATTGATGACGTCAATTTATTTTAACTCAATTGTTAGCAATTCTAGACTACGTAGCGCAAAACAAAGACCACCATTGAACTCCCCGTGACGAGCTGCATCGAATCGATACCCATTTTGTGCAAAAATATCAACTTTGAAATTTGACCCTATTTGACCTGACCTTAACCTGACCTTCACCAGAACATAATCTTAACTGACCCCAAAGGTTGCCTGACCCACATAATCGTATTTGGTAAATAAAATGGACCATAAAACATTCAACACATGATATTTTCATATTGTGACCCTCAGTGACCTGATCTCTGTGACCTGAACTGGTATCAGTGACCTCAAATAGCAAAATATGTGTTTGACGAACATTTCCCCATCAATGATTTTCAATGAAATGCATTTTACTCGATTTTACAACGCATTTCTTGAAATGCCTGTAACCGGTGAAAATTCGACATTGGACCTGACCTTTGACGTCATCAGTTTGACCTAGGTCAATGAAATTGGGTCACAAGGTAGTTCCTTGTTGGGGCTATCTAACACCGTTTGCCGCTTGTCACTATGTTGCGTGGTTCTCGAGATCTTGGGGGGGGGGGCAAATTGCCCCCCCCCCCCCCCCAGTAGGGCGCGTTGCTCGGCAACCCCAACGGGGCGCGGGTTAAGTGACCTGACCTGAAAGCGTGGTTGATTTCAAATGATCCGGCTTGAATCAAATGTAAGGTATAACTATGAAATGTCAGCCTTCTCAGTGTGCTTTGAGCTACCTACCGCAAAAAAATACATGGTGGTGGCATCCACCCCTCCTTCTCGGCCGGCGAGGGTTAAACACCGCTTCGAATTATTGCAGATAATGATGCGACCGAAAACAAAGCATTTATCTGCGTCTAGAACGCCCGCTGACTTGTTGGACAATATCCCCAATCTTAATTCGCTAGATGTGAATAGAATACTCGGTATGTGATGCATATATACCCCTCGATTTGCCCTCGTGCTAAGTCTATTCTCATCATCAATGTCGCTTTTTTATCCGAGATGATGTCGCCGCTAAACGGTTTGCTTTGTTTGCTTGCTTGCGTTGAATGGTCATTACGGATTATTGAAGGATTATGATAAAATAGGAATGGGGCAAGGGAGGATATGCACTGCAGGTGTTTAATTTAGATCACAAAGGCATCATTTCCGGCATCGTGCCGAGTCCCTATCTTCCCATCCTCTGCACTGCGGCATCTCTGCGCCCCACACACGGCGTCCTCACTCCACGGCCGGCCGCCGCCAACTGACCCACTCGCCGGGCGCCGCGACCTGACCCGTGTCGCTGCCGCGGCCTGCGCAATAGAGTCGGGGCTGGAATCCGGGGGTTCGGCCGGCCGGCCGCCTCTGGAGCGGGGGACTTTTTTAGTAGACCTACTGTACGCCGAATCGCGATTTCGGCCAAACATGGTCACGGAAAAGAGGTCACAGGTCAAAGGTCATTGGGGTCAGGGTCATGAAATTTTCAGGGTACGTGTAAAATTGATCAAATCGAGGGTACTGAAAGTTTCGTCGCGATCGGCCGCTTTTTACGCGAGTTATTCGCGAAAAACCTTAGGGGGATTGCATCAACCCCCCCCTGTGCCGGCGAGGGTTAATCACTATCTACACTGGTTAGTCGAGCATGCATCTTTGGGCGCTTGTCCACGCCTTATCGTTAATTTTGCTCAGGGAGGGCCGAGCGCCGATATCGTATTATCCGCGGTATTCATGGCAGGTTTTCGATAAACTGTCTTTTCCAACGTCCAAAAGGGTGGCCACTGGCCAGAGTGGTATAAAAGACATGCATTTATTGACAGAAAATACGAGCAAAGGCGCTCTGTTCATTATTGATGCTAGTAAGGCACGCCACAAAGCATGCAGCCAAAGCCCCTGAATGCCTCCGCGCAGTCAATCAATGGGCTCTGTGCGGGCCGGGCGCGATGGGTGCCACCGTCTCTGGCCAGCGGCGCGGCGCCCATCTCCGCAATATGCCCGCAGGCCGGCGCGTGCCCGAGCCAGATCAGCGGTCGTAATCGGCGCGTATTGCTGGCGGCGGCGGCCGGGCCGGCACTGCCGCGGGCCGGCCCGGCCCCGCCTGCAGGACTGTCCCGGCCCCGGCTCCTGCCAGTGACTGGCCCCCGCCTGCAGGGCAGTCCCGGCTCCGGGCCCGCCTGCAGGATTGCCCGTGACGGCGGCTCATAGACCTGGGAACAAGGGGGCAGCGGTAGCGCTTGCCCCCCCCCCCCAACTTGAGAGCCGAGGGGGCGGCGCCCCCTCAACATTGAGGCAGCGAGAAAGGATCTTCCCTCTCTTTTCTGAACTTCTTTCCTTCTTGTTTCCTTTATACATCTAAACATCAGCACACGGCATTTTCCTTGCCATCTGAATGGTTTCTGCCGATACAATAGCCGTTTTCACGACAGGCTATCCGGCGAATGCACCTGATTTGACCAAATCTGCACCTAATTTCTTTTACAGAAAATATCTTCATTTTATGAATTTATTTCAGTGCTTTAAGCGATGATGCTCTCTGATAATATGACAAAGCAGGCATATAAGCAATTAGTGCAACCCTAGCTGATAACTGCTAAGAGACACACTGAACCTGATTTGACCAAATCTGCACCTAATCTGTACCAGATGTGCACCAAATGTGTACCAGACGGCCGTCGTGAAAACAGCTATTATCGATCTGACACCATCTGCTGTTGTCATCCCGCTTTGGTTTGGGCCTGACCTTGACCATAAGTTTGGCAGGCCAGATTTTATACTGGACCATTTTGAGTCAACTTTGAGAAATACATAATGTACAACGGTGGTAAAATCGTTGCTTATAGGTATAACACAGTTTACCCGCTCCGGGTGTGAGGGAGGGGTGTGGGCCAATGAGTGCACTGACGTGGTGCCCTCGGAAGGCCGATATGGGATTAAAGCTCAGCGACACTAAGGGCTTGTGTGGTGCCTTCGGTTATCGGTAGCACCTCAGAATCACTGGCGTATGGCCCTCAGAGCCGCCGGTAAGGGGCCTTTAGAGGCACCGGTGTGGGGCCGCCATGCATGTGCCGGTGTGGGCGCGCAGAGGTGCTAGTGTGATTCTCGCAGAGGCTCCGGTGAGGGTCCTTACAGGCGTTGCTGTGGGCCCTCATAGACGCTGGTGTGGAGCCGTTACAGACGGGTGTGGGGCCTTTAGAGCTGCTGACGCGAACCCTCTACAAGCCGGCAGGAGGTTCTCAGTGACCGGCAAGGGGCCCTTAGGCTGGCAGAAGAATTCTTGTGGGGTCCTTAGAGCCCATGGGCCATGGGGCCCTTCTGAGTCGAAATATGGCCATCGTTAACCCTCAGCGGTCAAATGGCGCCGCAGGGCCTCTCAGACCCGAGGGTCCCTTTGAACCCGATTGGGGGGGGGGGGGGTACGTGTCCTCTTAGAACCCTAGCATACGCCACTGTTTCATATGCATCATGTCAGGTATTTTAGGCTCGCCCCCCAACTTGAAAATCGTTCCCGGGCCCCTGCGGTGGCTCAATGGAGGGCTGTGCCCCACCCCGCTAGTACGGTTTCACCCGCGGCCGTTTTAATAAAAGGTGAAATTTACGACTGTCGCAGTTTTCCAGCCATTTGATCGCAAACAAAGGTGGGTATAAGGGCCGCGTGAACGGGGGTGCAGGGGCTCGGAGTTCAAGTCCGTGTATTCACATTAACTCGCCTCGCGACTTTTCATCAACGTAATGTCACATGTGTAAAAATGGTACGGATAAAAGAGCAAGCACACTATCGTTCAGACCCTGACCAGACCCGCTGACTGTCGCTCCCTGCGTTCCAGTACCAGGCGCGCTGGCTGTCGCTCGTTGTACCAGACGCTGCTGACTGTCGCTCGTTGTGTTCCAGTACCAGACGCTGCTGACTGTCGCTCGTTGTACCAGACGCTGCTGACTGTCGCTCGTTGTACCAGACGCTGCTGACTGTCGCTCGTTGTACCAGACGCTGCTGACTGTCGCTCGTTGTACCAGACGCTGCTGACTGTCGCTCGTTGTACGAGACGTTGCTGACTGTCGCTCGTTGTGTTCCAGTACCAGACGCTGCTGACTGTCGCTCGTTGTACAAGACGTTGCTGACTGTCGCTGGTTGTGTTCCAGTACCAGACGCTGCTGACTGTCGCTCGTTGTACCAGACGCTGCTGACTGTCGCTCGTTGTGTTCCAGTACCAGACGCTGCTGACCCGACCCACCGACGAGGAGCTGGCCGCCTACCGTGAAAAGGTCGGCAATGACTCCGCTGGTACGTAGCCTCACTTTACCTTTGTTTTTATTTGCACTCGGTTTTGCTCCTGTTCTCTCCCACTCTCTTGTTCTCCTCTTAGTCTCTGCTCTCGCTGTTTGATATTCCTGTAATAAAGCGCCGATGCTTAGCTTGACTGGTAGTTATTTTCAGACCTATTCTCAAAACCTTTGTCCCTTTGCTTTCAATGTCTATGTATTTGCGTTTTTCATCAAAAGTTTTACATATTTAAATAAAAAAATGTGCCAATGGCCTGAATCATTGAATAATTATCACAAGCCTGAAGCCACACCTCGGAGTTGATCGATCGTTATGCATTCGCTTGTAAAAGCTGACAGTTTCGGATTATCTCTATCCCTTATCAAAGCTTTGAAGAAAATGCAGGCAACGAGAGCACGGCATACGAAATTAATGACATGATGATGCTCTTTTTCAAAATGATGACACGCGCACATGACAACAATTCGCGCACACTTGATCAATCGATTCGAAAGCCTAAGTGTGGTTATTTCATTTATATCTACCTATGTACAGTGTTTAGAAAATACCAATAGGTACGAATGGGGCGATTTGATACGGTGTGCGCCGATCTAGCTAAATCGATATAAAATGAGAACCATTCGATATTTTCTTGTCATTTTTGAGCACGTTGGTGTAGAATTGAGCGGAAACTGTTGTTGGGGATAACCTTTTGGATTTTTGTTGGTAGAAAACTTCGACCAACCTTATGTTTTTGGGCCTTGGTCCGTTCTATATGGTGTTTTTGATCTCTGTAATAGCTGCGGTATGCCATCGCTGAACATGTTGCTGGGTGCAACACGGAAAAAAGGGAACTCCTAGTGAAGTTGTCAGCAGAGTGTTACGTACCAGTAAAACGCCTTTTGGGCGAAGAACGAGCGAGCGAGATAGTGAGCCCTGCACGTGCGGAAGGGCGAGAGGGTGCTTCCAACGGGCTTCCGCAAAGCACCCTTCTAACTGGTCGCTAGCGGTGTGCCAAATTTGAACGCAATCGGCCCAGCCGTTCCTGAGATCTGGAAGCGGCATTCTGCACGTGCGCACGTGCAAACGGGGTCCAAAATGACTTTTGCACGGCACCCTACTAACTGGTCCCCAACCGTGTACCAAATTTGAGCGCAATCGGCCCAGCCGTTCTCGAGATCTGGAAACGCCCCCTGCACGTGCGCACGTGCAGTAGCACCCTAACCGCAACACATGGGAATGCATTGCCTGGTGGGTGCCTACCTGTATGCCAAGTTTCAGCGAAATCGCCCCAGTAATTACCAAGTTACTGAAATGGGAACAAATTTGGCACCTCTTATTGTTGTATTTTGCACGTGCACTGGGAGTGACCCACATGCATCGAGAGTATCCTATTTTGGGTAGAAGGGATGCTGCTACCCTATAAAAATTACCGCAAGTCAATCGCCCAAGCGGCTGCTGAGATATGAGCCTCTCAAAATCACTACTTTTGCAAAACAGCTTGAACACCCTTGACTTTTCACGTGGCACGTGCCACGACGGTCACTGAGATGTATCAAAAGTAGTCAATTACGGGGTAGAAGGGATGGGGCTACCCAACAAAAAAGACCGCAGGCCAATCGGTCCAGCGGTTGCTGAGATATAAGCCTCTCAAAAGCGTTACAGGCCGGGCCGGGCCGGGCCGCTCATACTGAGATTTTTCCGTTATAGTGGGTGCCTACCTGTATGCCAAGTTTCAGCGAAATCGCCCCAGTAATTACCAAGTTACTGAAATGGGAACAAATTTGGCACCTCTTATTGTTGTATTTTGCACGTGCACTGGGAGTGACCCACATGCATCGAGAGTATCCTATTTTGGGTAGAAGGGATGCTGCTACCCTATAAAAATTACCGCAAGTCAATCGCCCAAGCGGCTGCTGAGATATGAGCCTCTCAAAATCACTACTTTTGCAAAACAGCTTGAACACCCTTGACTTTTCACGTGGCACGTGCCACGACGGTCACTGAGATGTATCAAAAGTAGTCAATTACGGGGTAGAAGGGATGGGGCTACCCAACAAAAAAGACCGCAGGCCAATCGGTCCAGCGGTTGCTGAGATATAAGCCTCTCAAAAGCGTTACAGGCCGGGCCGGGCCGGGCCGGGCCGGGCCGCTCATACTGAGATTTTTCCGTTATATTGAAAAGACTCACTTCGCTCGCTGCGCTCGCTCGCTCGTAACCATATTGTTAAATGACAAAAATGAGTTTTTGATTTTTTTTCTGATTTAAAAACATATTCAGCTTAGAAACTTGTACTTCCGAAGCATAAAATAGCATCACATTGACACTATATCTGATGAATTTATATGACGTAGGGTCATATAATTAAGGAACGGGAGATGTTAACCCTAGAACGCCTAGGGGGGGGGGGGTTGTATCAACCCCCCCTGAGGTTTTTTCGAAGTGCACGCTAAACGGCTTGTCGTAGCGGGCTGAAATTTTCAATACCCTCTGGGGCAACCTTTGCGCATCTTTTGCCGAAAAAAATGATCGGGTCATGTCAGGTCACGGAGTTATGACGTCATAAGAGGTACAGCCTCCGGCCGGATTTTCACAAACTGAGTGCCAACGCCCGAGGTTTCCTGCCGGTGGTACGGACATCGGTTGATGGATCGTGATGAAACTTCCCATGCATGTTGGGGCAAGTATTGGCTATCATATGGTATAAGAAATTTGACCGGGTCAGGTCAGGTCACGGAGCTATGACGTCACAAGAGGAACAGCGTCCGGTACTATTTTTGAAAAGCGCCCGAACCACTATTTTGCTAATTCTTGTCACCTCAATGGGAATATGCAGCAATATTAGCTTCTATAGGGAGCAAATGGACCTCCCAAATCCAAAAATACAATCAGATTTCAAAAATTTAAATTTTGATTTTTCGAATTTCTGCCGCCGACTGTGACCTTGCCGACTTCCGGCGCTCCCAACGCGCCATTTTCAGAGCTAGGGAAACGAAATACATACCAAACGATAGAGAATTGATCAAGGAACACGATAGTGAAGGTTTCAAGTCGATATCTCCCACCGTTTTGCCGCAATCGCCGCCGAAAGTTGAAAAAGTATATTTTTCCGAAAATTTGACCTTTGACCGGTCAAAAGTAGGTCAAATGTTGACCTAGGACCAAAAAATATACCACCAATCGCGAGATCTCGTTGAGAGCAATCCGTTGGTTTTTTTCCGCTAAGCTCTACGACCTTCCGTTTCGAAACGCCAGGGGGGGGTCGTAACAACCCCCCCCCCTGGTCGTTCGTGTTATGAGAAATGGCCTGGTCGTGCGAGGGTTAAAAATTGCAGTATTTTAAACTTCCTGTATATGATTAACCGGGCTCCGAAATGCTCCCGTTCAGAGATGCCCAAGGAGATGTTCAAGATCTCAGGCAACTACCGCGAGGGCTCCAACATCATCGGACTGGTGGTGTTCGCCATCGTGTTCGGCATCGTCATCAGCATGATGAAGAAGCAGGGCGAGATCCTGCTGCAGTTCTTCACGGCCATGTCGGAGGCGATGATGTACCTGACCCGCATCGTCATCTGGTAAGGGGCCGATGCGCGCACATCCGGCCGACAGCCGCCCTCGTCGTTGGAATGGCGTCAGGTTATTCCGAATGTATGCTCAAGTTACCTGCCCTGTTGGTAGAATGAGGTAGTTATATTATCCTTCTTGTATTGCTTCTGCGATTGTCAATCCGCAATATTTCAGTCTTTATGCCCACGTGCAAAGACTGCGTCAGGGCATGCTGAATGCTCAAGGTACCCTGTGAGTCGAATGGGGAATATTTTCCTCCTTCTACTCCTTCTGCGATTGACAGTACACGACACTTCAGTCTCTGTGCCCGGGTGGGTGTGCTGATATATTTTTCATATGTGAAGAATGAGATTCGCAATTCCAAGTGATAAAATCGCCGGTAAAATCGGCGTCCGTTACCGGGAAGTGTTCGCTGTATTGTTTTTTTTTTCGCATACGCGTCATTGCTGCTCGTCTTATGATGAAAAGGCTCGACTGATGCCCGGCCCGAACAACGCGTCCCCGCATGTGCTGACATCTTTGGGATCGCTGCCTAAGCCTGAGCTTGCATGCCTATAGTCATGTAGGCGATGACATAGGTATTGCTATTTATCTACTTTTTCTTGTCTCCAGTCCTCATGCCTGCGCTGATGATTTTAGTCTTTAACCCTCGCCGAACCTTTGGAGGATGCTTAACCCGCGCCCCACTGGAGGGGGGGGGGGGCTATTCATAGCCCTCCTCCCGTTTTTCTGCAATAACTTCCAAACCGCTTGACGTATCGACGCCAAAATTTTAGTACCTTCGGCTGCATCGATTTGACACCGTGTGTCAAAATACGAACTTCGTAACTACCATAGGTCGGTCGGAAATGACGTCAGAGTGACGTCATGTTCGGCCGATTTCGACGCAAAACATTAAAACACGGCAATCGCTCCCAAGAGCTCAGTTTTTAAGCTAGATCCAATTTCTTTGCATGAGAGGGCTCAGAATAGACTGCGCTATCAAACTTTTTCTCGGATTTTAAAATTTTTGAAATTTAAAAATATATAATTTAAAAAAAAATATATTTCCATTTTTTTGACTTTTCGAAAAACCGGAATGTATGTGATAGTACACATGGTTATGACTTATTCTAGCAAGTTTTAGTTAAGTATCTTAAAAAATGGCCAAGTTACCTATACCTACGCATTATTGCAAAAAATCACAATTATAAGTTTTTCAAATCAATTTTCGGTACGTTTTTGACATCGTCCACCAATATAAATAGCACCATCGTGTTCCTGAGCTCCAACTGCATCCGATAGACATGTTTTTTGTTGAAAAATTTCAACTTTGAAATTTGACCTTTTTTGACCTGAAAGTGACCTGACCTTAGCTATATTCAGATGAAAATGGCCTCAAATGACACAGGTGACACCGAATTCAACATCTATGGCCTAAATGGACCATAAAACATGTGTCACGTGACCGACCTATGACATAAGATTTCCGTGACCTATGATGACCTGACCCTGACCTGAAAATCAAAGTACAAGTTTGGTTCCCTCAGGGTATCTAAAGCATCTGTTCACGAGTGTGTAAACCAAAAATCAGCCTGATCTGACTTGTAAGACTGCAGCCAGAGCCCCAAAAGTGAACAAGCCAAATATCGATAATTTTTACTTTGACCTGACCTACCTGTGACGTCATCGGTGAGCTCGAGGTCAATGAAATTAGGTTTCGCTCGACAGTTTTTCCGGGACTATCAGATGCCGTTTGAATTTTGCGATCGGCCCAGTAGTTTCGGAGCTAGGAGGGGGCTATGAATAGCCCCCCCCCCCGCCCCCCAGTGGGGCGTGTTATACACAGACCCCAGTGGGGCGCGGGTTAGGTCTTGTAAGTTTCATCTCTCTGTGAAAGCTATTCTGGCATTGTGGTCTGTGGGCGTTGCAAAGTTGCGACATTTTAGAATCATGTTCACTTATGACTTCACACTTCATACCTAGGACAGTGACCTGACCTGACCTGAAAAATCAGTTGGTGTTCCAAGATCTGGCTTGAATCAAACGTCATGCGTGCCAGCTTTTAGTCCTCTATCGCCAGAGTGTTCGGAGCAATCGCGAAAACACTACCCTTCCCCTGCGCCGGCAAGACTAATACCTATTTTAGACTAGCTCGCACGCTCTAACCAGTAGCTATTTGTGATAGCTTCCTTAAACCTATTACAAAAGAACACTTGGCGCACTTTAAGCACTTAGAGATAGAAGCGCGAAATATTCAGTACCAATTATATCAGTCACCAATGATCAATGTCACCCCAATCGCAACCCAATCATTAATTTGGCATCATCTGTAGTAAAAAAGATCGAGCCCCCTGATGACGTTACAAGCTCGGTTTACTAGCCGACACGGCAAATTTTGACTTCATCAAACGAAAATTCGAGCGGCTTCCAAAATGCATTTTTAACCCGCGCCCTGCTGGGGCTACTGGATTTTCACGCCCTGTCGGAAGGAAGGGGGGGGGGGCACAATGAACACCCCATTCTAACTTGACTCCTGGACCACGAAGTGACAAGCGGTAGGCGGCGTTCGAAAAAGCGTGAAAAATAATGACGATATTATACCGGTCATTTTTTAGGTTAGATCAAATGTTAGGTAACCAGGGATCATTAAAGGTCAAAGTTCAGCTATTTCAACGTTTTTGACAAATCTCCGTAGAACTCGACAGTGAATAGAGCTACACCGCCGCAGAAAAGCGAACTTGAGGCCATGTTAGCCGTCTTTCAGAGTGATTTTCAGATCTTTCGATTGGGCCAACTTCGTCGCGTGATGCCCTTAAAAGTAATTGTCCACCTAGTCAATGCCCTTGTTCTTCCTCATATTCGCTTTTGCATGGCTCTCTGGGGAAATTGTAATGTGACACAAGGGAAGAGAATAGGAAAAATAGTTAAATTTGCACAGCGTATCGCAGGTCGCGAAGCTCACAGACTGGCTTAGCGTGGAGATCTTGCCTTACAGCATAAAATCGCGGTATTAAAAACAGTTCGTCAATGTCTACTTATCCCTGAATGTATGCCGCCACTAATTGTGTCTCTCTTTAAAGGTAGTGTGCCACCTTTGAAAGATTTCCCATTTTATTTTTCCTAGGATAAGAAGCTTCTGTTTTTACCTAATATCGCAAAAAAAATCAAAAATGGGCCTGGAATAGTGCCTTTTTCGCCTAAAAGTTTATCGGTTTTTCGATATGTATAACAACTGTAGTGGGCTGACCTGCAAACAGGCGTCGGCAACAATCGCGAATGCGGCGCACATGTGACAATAAGCAAGGGTCATTATAGAGTTACGACGTACGGGAATGAGTTATCAGCTGTCTAATCGTAGACAACACAATGTCGAGCCTTAAACTGTAAGCCTGTATTGGTATTGTTTCTTTTATTTGGCTGTCGAACATTATTTGTGGTTTGAAATATGATTTTATGTAAAATAATTGATATGAAAAAGCCGTCTCTTAACCCGGCCGGGCCCGGGGGGTAATCCCAACCACCGCAGCCCGGGGGGGGGCGTTTTTCGCCCCCCCCCCTGTCTAACTCCGTAAATAAAGGGGCTACGGAAACAAAAGCGATACCAAACGAAAGGTCATTACGAGACGATTCTAAAGCACCTAAAATTTTTGACCTCAGGTCAATTTTCAAGGTCAGAGGTCAAGGTCAAAGGCAAAAACCGGCACATGTGTAGTGATCTCAAAGTAAGCCTTCTAGAGGACGGCAGGCTGCATCAAACCGGCAAAATTGAGTGTCAAACGAAAGAAGAAAATCTGAGGATTCCGAAACTATGCTCAAAATCAAAGGTCAAGGTCAAGGTCACGCTCAAAATTGACCTCAAACTTGGCACTTTTTCGCACATCTTGCGTGCTAACTTCCAAGATGTTTTGAAATGTTTTGAGGCTTATCAGTTCCCTATTTGTGGTTCATCTTACGATACAAGGCTGCTCAAAGGTCAAGGTCACAGAAGAGTATCCCTGCTAGAGGCTATTTCTCTAATTCAAGTTACTTATAATAAATAAGACAATTTTGCCATCCGGAAGCTCTAAATGAAGGCTGAGAGGAAAATAGATGCCAGATTCGTGATCAGCGGATACAAATCCATCATAAACGACCTTTCATGTGTCAAGGTCAACCAGAGGTCATTCGAGGTCACATGAGGTCAACATAAAATTTGACCTTTTCCGAACAAAATATATATCATTCGACGCGGCTTGACAAGGCGAATGCGATGGTACCACTGCCGTAGCTCTAGGACCATTTTTGTCGAAGTTATTTGCGAAAAACTAAAACCACATTTCGGGGTCGTTGACCTGACCTCTGACCTCAGGTCACCAAAACTATTTTTCTATTTTTCTCTAGGTCAAACGCTACACAACCGTGCTCGTAATTTGTCTTTATCTCTAAAACTCTATTTTTAGCAGCTATTTGAAGTTTGCGTCTGTGACGCCGAAGTTTGCCGTGCAGGGGTCTAGAAAAATGGATTTTGTGACGTCATCAAGGGGGCTAGGTCCAAATTTTTTACTTCAGAAGATGTCAAATTGATGGGTGAAAAGGTACTGAAAGTTTCGCTTTCCTATCCCTAAGCGTTCGGGAGCTATCGCAAATATTCGCCAGGGGGGGGGGCGAAAAACGCCCCCCCGGGCCCGCGAGGGTTAACCCGCGCCCCGCTGGGGGGGGGGGGGCAGAATCTGCCCCCCTCCCGTTTTTCGCCAATAACTTCTAAACGCGTTACGCCAGCGACGTCAAACTTTCGGTACCTTATCATACATCAATTTGACACGTTCCCTGAAAATTTGAGCGAAATCCGTCGGAAATTTTTTGAGAAATTGACGTTTTAGTGACGTCATGTTCGCCATTTTCGCCTCAAAAACGGCAAAATTTCAAACGCCGCTAACATCTTCATTTTTAAAGGAATCAAGACGTAACAAAAAAGGTTATGCGTGATTCCACTTTGTCTATCAAATGGCCATCTCGGTTTTTCGAAAATTTTGGATTTTGGCACAATTTTTTTTTTAACTGAGTTTTTTGGGAAAATAATAATAAAATCCAAAATTTTGAGTGTATCGAAAAAACCGGAATATATGTCAGAGAAGTGGTCTATGTGCACCTACATACCAATTTTTAGAAGAATCGGTTCAAAAATGTGGGAATTATTCAAAATTTTATGACGTCACGACACACAAAAATTTTGAAAAATGATTTTTTTGGAAGTTCTAGACCTCGTACGGAAACAAAAATAGCACCATTCGATTCGCCGTGAAAAACTGCATCAGATAGACACCTTTTTAGGCCTTAAAAACCAACTTCAAAATTTGACCTCACTCGACCTGACCCTAACCTGACCTCGACCTGAAATTCATCAAGAGGTGGTCCATATCACTTATTGAGTGTGCCTATTGAATTCTATGAGTAAAATGACCCATAAAACATGTGTCGCACATGCCCTTTACTATATTTTGTTTTTGGTGACCTGACCTGACCTGACCTGACCTTGACCTTGACCTTGACCTTTGAATGACATTGTGTGCAACGAATATTGTCTTGGTAGTCTAAGAACACGTTTTGGGCAATCAGTCTCAGTCCATTCTTTGGCAACTACGGTGCAAGGCCGATACTGTAGAAACTTGCATTTTGTACACTTGACCTGACCTTGACCTGACCTCTGACCTACTTAAGCAAAAAAAATGGGCTCTTAAGATCCGCCTTGTTGAGAGCTTTCGATTGCCGTTTTCCCCGTCTTTCTACGACCATCGGTTCGGAAGTTAGACAGGGGGGGGGGCAGAATTCTGCCCCCCCCCCCCCAGCAGGGCGCGTATGGCTGAATAGCCCAGCGGGGCGCGGGTTAAGTTATGACCCCATTTCACCACACACAAGTGGCAGAAATGACAATGATCAGCTAACGCATTTTTCTTGGCCGAAGTCAGAGCGCGCGGCCCGACGCACCACCACCGCACCACAAAGTATGAGCAGAAGCCGCGCCCAAAGCCAGGGCCCCGGTAACGTGAGGTAGCCGAGTCGGGGCAGCGTGCGCTGACCCAAGCCGGGGCCGCAGCTTTGGGCGCGGTCTACCGCATCCCCGCGGGCAGCCCCGGGCTATCACATGACACCGGGAGGACGCGCGGCCCCGGCTTGGGTCAGCGCACGCTGCCCCGACTCGGCTACCTCACGTTACCGGGGACCTGGCTTTGGGCGCGGTCTACCGCACCACCTAACAGGCGTGTTCGAAACCGCAGGAGATGATGATGAACGGGTTTATCGAAACTTGATTGGATGAGCATACATAGGCGTAGGAACAGGGGGGGGGGGCAGGTGGGCAAGTGCCCACCCACTTTTCGAGGTGGGGGGGGGGGCAACCATGTGTTTTGGCCCACCCACTTTTTACTCGAGGCCCCTCTTCTCGATTTGAGAGGACGTCGTCACCTTCCAGAATAAACAAACTCGGTAAAAATAAGTTCCACGAATCCCTACGCACGGACTCCAAGGGGGCGTGATGGATCCAAGCCCCAAGGAGGCCCTCTGTTCATACTTGTCAGTCGAAGCCCCTGAGACTGATGGCCTGAGAGGCCCTAGTGGATCTGAGGAGGCCCCAATATCCACACTGGTCTGGGGAGGCCCCTCTATCCACACTAGTCAGAGGTCTGAGACTGGTGGTCTGGGAGACCCCTCCATCCACACATGATACTGATGGACTGAGAGGCCCTTCTATTTATACTGGCCACAGGAGACACCCAAAACTTTCGGTCCGGGAGGTCCCTCAATCCGGCACCAGTCAGAAGAGTCCCCTGAGACTGATGGCCTGGAAAGCCCTTATAATCACACTAGGCAGAGGAGGCCCCTGAGGCTGATGGTATGAGAGGCCCTCATATTCACACCAGTCAGAAGAGGCCCCCGAGGCTGATGGCTGTGAGGCCCTTCTGTTCATATAACTGGCCACTGGTGGCCCCTGAAACCGGTGATCTGGGAGGGCCCTCAGCCCTGGGAGGTCAGAGAGGTCCACTCCTAATGAATCTGAGGGGGCCCTCTATCCACATTTACACTTTTCTAGGGAGGCCCCCCGAGACTGATGGTCTGAGAAGTGAGAGCCCTTTTATTTATACTGTCCACAGGAGCCCCCTGAGATTAATGGTCTGAGAGGCTCTTCTATTTATACTAACCAGAGGAGGCCCCTAGGATTGATGATCTAACAGGCCCTTCTATTTATACTAGCCAGAGGAGGCCCATGAGGCTGATGGTCTGAGAGGCCCTTCTATTCAAACTAGGCAGATGAGGCCCCTGAGAATGATAGTCCGAAGAGCCATGCGGCGGCAACTGGCCGTGGCCATATTTCGGCTCGGTAGGGCCCCACAGAGCTCACGAGAGCACCTCAAGGGCTCCTAAGTAGACACGCTTATCCCCACGTGCCACGCCGGCTTCTGAAGGCTCCTTGTAGGCATCTAAGGGCCCTTTCCGGCCTCTAACGGCTCCACCCGCCTGTGATGGCTCCACACCAGTGTTTATGAGCGCCACACAGCGGCGCCTTTGAGGGTCATACTAGTGTCTCTTAGGGCCCTATATCGGTTGCTCTGGGGGCCCCACACCGGCGCCTCTGTGGGCCACCACACCTGTGCATCTCAAGGCTCTATAGGTACATCTGAAGGACCCACACCGACACCTCTGAGGGCCCCAGACCAGTATCTTGGAGCTCGGAAGGCCCCACACCGGTGACTCTGAGGACTCACCGGCTCCTGAGAGCACCATGTTGATGTCTAACGGCTCCACAAGGCCACTGAAGGCACCACACAAGCTCTCATTGAGCTCTTATGTCCATGTACCGGCCTCTGAGGGATTTAAGCCAGCGCATTCATAGCTCCACACCAGCAATTGTAAGGGCTTCACACTGAAGTATCTGAGGGTTCCACACCGGTGTCTCTAAGGGCCACATACCGGCATCTCTGAGGGCCCATATCGGCATCTCTGAGGGCCCCATTACCGGCGTCTCCGAGGGTCCACATCTGGCGGGCACCCATCAGCGACTGAAGGTCCCACACTGTCGACTCCGAGAGCCCCATCTGCGTCTGGGAGCACCATGCCGTCTCTAAGAACCACAGCGGCTCCTCCGTACGAAAGATGGGCGTCTCCATGCCAAAGGGGAGCGGTTCTGAGACAGTAGGGCACCTACGTGCAATAGAGGGGCGCCTATGAAGCCCATAGGGGCGCCTCAATGCGAAAGAGGGGCGCCTCTGAGGCCTACATATATGGGCGTCCACATGCAATAGAGGTCTGCAAATTGCAATTGATCAATGCCAATGGGGGTGCATTCATAAGAAACAGGGGCGCCGGCATGGCAAAGAGAGGTGCCTTCAAGTGTCCATAAAAGAGAGACACCTATGATCAGCGCACATTGTATGCGACAATGGGGCGACTGTGGGACATATAGGGATGTCTCTGATGACTATACATAGGGCGCTTATATGCCAAAGAGGGCGCCTATGAAGCTAATGGGGGCACCTGGGAAACGAGGAAGACATTTGTGTAAGGGTTTTCAGGGGTCATGCGCCGTTTGCGGCAAATACATTCTAAAAAAAATCGGAGGGGGAATAAGTTTTAAAAATGGTGCGGACTTTCTGCACTGTTCGCTTAAGCGGTTACGCCCCTGGGTACATCTGCCCGATCTCAGAAGCTAGATTTGGAGGTCATACTTGAAAGCAGCCAGCAGGACGAGGCAAAAGTTGGAGGCCCCTGAAAATAGGAGGCCCCCTGGAAAAGGAGGCCCCTTGACAGGGTGGCCCACCCACTTTTCATGACGTTCCTACGCCCGTGTCGGTAATAGCGATTTCAGTGTGTGCATTTATTGTTCATAGTGGTGTGAAATGTGGTTGGGGTACGACCGACAACCCGTCGGGGCGAATTTCGCACTGGGGTACTCAAAATTTGAAGAATTTAAGACGTTTCCATGAGTTTTTAAGGAATGGATAAGTTCTAAAAATCCGGTTCTCCTTATCTGGGCCATTAACTCCATACGGTCCAGGAAAGCTGGCACACTACCTTTAAAGAGAGACGGTCAGACCGACAAACAAGGCAATCAGGCAATCTTGACCTAGTTATACCTAGGACTGAAATGAAGAAAGCGTCCTTCTCTTACAGTGGTGCAAAACTATGGAATAGCTTGCCCATTCATGTCCGAAACTATTCGAAAGCTGATATTGTGAAATATATTTTGGAAAATCACGCGGTAAAATGATGCATATGTATGTTGTGTTGTTCCGGTGATATCACATTGTTCGTTGTAATAATTGCCGGTTACTCATGAGGCTTCGCTGTCTCATCAAACTTTTTGTTATAGAAAATCGCTTTTGTTCTGCATTTTGATTTCGTTATACGTGCTTATGAATGACAGGGCACTGCGCTGCCTGTATTGTATGTAGGTATATTGTTTATGTGTGTCAATGTGTTTCCCTCTGTAATGCCCACCGAATGGTGGTTAGTGGGAATATGAAATAATAATAATAATAATAATAATAATAATAATAATAATAATAATAATAATAATCTCATGGGCTAGGTTAGGTGAATTTAGGTTAGATTAGGTCAGGTTAGGTCAGGTTGGGTAAGCCTGCAGGGGCAAAAATCTGCTTGACCGCGACCGCGACAAATTTGCTTGACCGCGACTCAAACCGTCTGATTGACATTATATCCCCGGGGATCATTCTTGTAGCGTCGAAAGGATGTCCTGTAGAGGCCGCACCCCGACCCCGTCTGACCGCTGACCCGACCCCGTCTGACCGCTGAGCCGACCCCGTCTGACCTCTGACCCGACCCCGTCTGACCGCTGACCTCTGGCCGCTGCTGACCCGGGCCGCTGCTGACCTCTGGCTGCTGCTGACCTCTGGCCGCTGCTGACCCGGGCCGCTGCTGACCCGGGCCGCTGCTGACCTCTGGCTGCTGCTGTTCCGGGCCGCTGCTGACCTGTGGCTGCTGCTGACCTGTGGCCACCGTCTGCCGCAGGCTCTCCCCTGTCGGCGTGTGCTTCCTGATCGCGGCCAAGATTCTGGAGCTGGAGTCGTTCTCGGTGCTGCTCGGCCAGCTGGGAATGTACTTCCTGACCGTGCTCATCGGGCTGACCGTGCACGGCTTTGTCGTGCTGCTGCTGCTCTACACGCTCGTGGTGCGCAAGCTGCCGTTCGGCTTCGTGGCCAACATCGTCCAGCCGCTGGCCACCGCCTTCGGCACCTCCTCCAGGTCAGTGGCCTGACCTGTGCCCAGCTCTGTGACCTGGCCTGTGCCCTGCACGGCTCCCCAGCTCTGTGACCTGACCTGCGTCCCGCCCGCTCCCCAGCTCTGTGACCTGACCTGCGTCCCGCCCACTCCCTAGCTCTGTGACCTGACCTGTGTCCCGCCCGCTCCCCAGCACTGTGACCTGACCTGTGTCCCGCCCGCTCCCCAGCTCTGTGACCTGACTTGCGTCCCGCCCGCTCCCCAGCTCTGTGACCTGACCTGTGTCCCGCCCGCTCCCCAGCTCTGTGACCTGACCTGTGTCCCGCCCGCTCCCTAGCTCTGTGACCTGACCTGTGCCCCGCCCGCTCCCCAGCTCTGTGACCTGACCTGTGTCCCGCCCACTCCCCAGCTCTGTGACCTGACCCGTGTCCCGCCCGCTCCCCAGCTCTGTGACCTGACCTGTGTCCCGCCCGCTCCCCAGGTCTGTGACCTGACCTGTGCCCCGCCCGCTCCCCAGCTCTGTGACCTGACTTGCGTCCCGCCCGCTCCCCAGCTCTGTGACCTGACCTGTGTCCCGCCCGCTCCCCAGCTCTGTGACCTGACCTGTGTCCCGCCCGCTCCCCAGCTCTGTGACCTGACCTGCGTCCCGCCCGCTCCCCAGCTCTGTGACCTGACCTGCCGCTCCCCAGCTCTGTGACCTGACCTGTGTCCCGCCCACTCCTCAGCTCTGTGACCTGACCTGTGTCCCGTCCGCTCCCCAGCTCTGTGACCTAACCTGTGTCCCGCCCGCTCCCCAGCTCTGTGACCTGACCTGCGTCCCGCCCGCTACCCAGCTCTGTGACCTGACCTGCGTCCCGCCCGCTACCCAGCTCTGTGACCTGACCTGTGCCCCGCCCGCTCCCCAGCTCTGTGACCTGACCTGTGTCCCGCCCGCTCCCCAGCTCTGTGACCTGACCTGCGTCCCGCCCGCTCCCCAGCTCTGTGACCTGACCTGCGTCCCGCCCGCTCCCCAGCTCTGTGACCTGACCTGTGTCCCGCCCGCTCCCCAGCTCTGTGACCTGACCTGTGTCCCGCCCGCTCCCTAGCTCTGTGACCTGACCTGTGCCCCGCCCGCTCCCCAGCTCTGTGACCTGACCTGTGTCCCGCCCGCTCCCCAGCTCGGCCACGCTGCCACTGACAATCGCCGCGCTGGAGGAGAAGAACGGCGTCGACCCGCGCATCGCCCGGTTCGTGCTGCCCATCGGCGCCACCATCAACATGGACGGCACGGCGCTGTACGAGGCCGTGGCGGCCATCTTCATCGCCCAGGTGCGCGGCGTCACGCTCGGACTCGGCCAGATCATCGCCATCAGGTGAGGATGACGGCGCTGACACGCGGGCTGGCTACTGCCATCAGGTGAGGGTGACGGCGCTGACACGCGGGCTGGCTACTGCTAGGTCCTGACGCCGGGAAGAGGGGGCTCGACTCGGTGTGGGAGTGACGCCCTTTTGCAGTACCTATTGTGATCGATGTTACTACATATCGATACTTGTAACCAATACTCCACACTCCATTGGGCATTGATGCTCAATCAATGAGAGACACTGCTCACATCGGATACTGCTCATGATACTGCTCCTTATGGTTGTTTTCATGCATACCTTCACTCGGGCCATCCATCCTACATTAACATTATTTATAAATTTGTCTGCAGCTGCAGCCTTGCTTAGCTATCATTTATGCTACCTTGGCTCTTCTATCCATCATCTATTGGACCGCAGTTTCTCTAGTTATGATTTGCACACTCGACCATTACAACTTATAACGATTTGGAAATGCTTCCTGTCTGACATCCACACACAGTACCTATTGTGGTACTCACACGTCTGACACACACACACAGTTGGTCTTACACACACGTGAGCCTTACACCATGTGCCGGTGTTGTGTGCCGTGCACTGTGTGCCGGTGTTGTGTGCCGTACACCATGTGCCGGTGTTGTGAGCCGTACACTGTGTGCCGGTGTTGTGAGCCGTACACTGTGTGCCGGTGTGGTGTGTCGGCGGCTGACGCGTGCCTCTGTTGCAGCATCACGGCGACGGCGGCCAGTATCGGCGCGGCCGGCATCCCGCAGGCGGGTCTGGTCACCATGGTGATGGTTCTGGACACGGTCGGACTGCCCGCCGGCGACGTGTCGCTCATCCTGGCCGTCGACTGGCTGCTGTGAGTCGGCCGGCAGCGCGGCCAGCGCCACCGGCCAGCGGGCACGGGTGGTGAATGGCGCCGTCAGCCGCGCCTATGGACTGTCCATATCCCGGTGGCACGGGACCGATTGATGGTCTCGGTGAGGACGGACCGTGCCGGCCGGCGCGGCGCCAATCAGCATCTGTCTCGCGGCTGGCACCGCCACAAGCATAGGCGCGGGAGCCGGGGGGGGGGGGGCAGTGGGGGCAGCTTGCCCCCCCCCCCTACCCAACTCTGGGGCCGTGGGGGCGATGCCCCCACAGCTTTGAGACGGAAAACCACACTTTTTTACTTTTTTTCTTTTTGTTGAAAAAGCCAAGGAATGAAAAATAAGTGGCCTAAAACCGGTGAGAAAACTAGATTTGGGGGTACCCTAGGTTGATCTCTATTATGGTGTGCCCCCCCCCCCCCCAGTCTGAACGTAATTCCCGAGCCCCTGGCCACAAGGTTTGACGTTCTCGATGGCGGTGACTGTGCGTGTTGCCATGGAAACCACGGCTAGAGATCGGAGGGCGGAATGCCCTTATTTTGGGAAATGTCTGATTAGCCGATCGGGCATTGACCAGCGGCTGGACAGAGACGTGGAGCCGATCGGGCATTGACCAGCGGCTGGACAGAGACGCGCTGTTTGCCGGTGCGTGTTCCAGGGATTACGAGCGGCCAGTGATCCGGCCTAGTACCTAATGGTGGCAGACGTGCCCCCCCCCCCCCTGCCGCTGCGCCATTGGCAGCTCTATCGGAACACGTTATTGCTAACTGTGTTGCCGAGCTCAGGATGTATAATCAGTCAACACAGATGCGGATAATACTATGTGAGAATGTGCCTGTTTTACCACGTCAAAGGTCAGGTCTCTAAAAATCATCATAGGTTAACAGAGTTTCACCTACCTGATCTTACTGGCATTGGAAATTGAGTTTTATTTATTTCTCTTACATGTGCCTACCTAGCAGCTAGGTAGGATTTGTTGTCCATTGCGGTCCAGAAGAGACGTTAAAGGGATGGCTGATGAGTTCTATTTAAAAAAGGGGGTTCAAAAATGGTTCATATTTCTTATAGCATATACCTAAATCGCAAAAACGTTGTTTGCAATAACACCTTTCAGGTAGGCGCATTTTGGTGCAGCTAGTGACAGTGATGAAAGTTAGTTTGTTAGGAGAAGCCTTTATAAAATAGTCCCCTAGGGTGGAGCTATTTTATATTGTTTTAGCTGCAAAGAAATGGAAGAATAACGGTCATGTTAAGGATTTTGCATCGCCATTTGATTTGTAATTAAATTTGGATCGTTCTGGCAAAAATCAGTTTTCCAAATCGGCTTACTATACAGGGTGAGTTTTTCAACTGGTAAAAAGTAAACATCAATGGTGGTCTTAAAATCGAAAAACGCGTGGACAAAAACAATGCACGTGTCGAATGCCTCTGGAACATTTTGTATGGTATCATGACTGGTCCGTTTTTACCGACGGTCTTGACCCCACGGGGGGTCTGAAAATGCCCAACCAAACGGGCTCGCCCAGTCCATTGCCGTTCAATAAAGAACAATACGAGTGGGTGATTATGGAGTATGGGGCAGTTCGAAACATGACGATCGTGAGGAGAAACATTAGAAAGACGTAAAATGTAGCTCCAAGAAGTTTAACGCCATACATAACCTTCAAACGGCCCGGCCCATATCAAGCTTGGATGCAGTCCACTGAAGAGGCAGTCTCCAGGGAGAAAAAAGCAGCGAATCAGACTCGCCACCAGGGTCAGCAGGGTATCGAAATCCCCTGATCTGCCCTGCCTAGACTACTGGTTTGTGGACGTCGCCATGACAGAGATAACAAGGAAACAGCGGAAATCCCTGGCAGAGCTGAAAATGGGCCAGCCTTTGCAGCCTGCCCAACAAGTCAGGGAGTGGTTGGTGCTCTCCAACACATACTCAGGCGAGCTGATGATGGCTGATGGCGGGCTGCGTGTCGGCGAGAAAGGGGGTGTCGCCGCCGTAGCGGCTCCAGTGTTTTATGGCACGCGCCATTTTGCATATTTTCACGCAGTCGGAATTTCGTCGGTGCTATTGTTGTCGTGTGAATGAACTCGTTGAAATTAGAAGGAGAAAATGGCGGACAATATAGATTGCAAGGCCCTAAATACAAGGTTGCACGGACTTATTTCTACTAAACCTACCAGAATATAGTTTCACGGTTGATTATTTAAATAATTATTCAATCAAAATTTCTTTATTATTATCTCGTCATCATTTATAAGCAATTTTATAAATCAACTTTTAATTTGCTTGCCTTTTACTAGCAAAATAACTTTTCTAGTATTGGGTCAACATAGTGGTGTAGCAGTAGGAACCACATCTGGCAAAACCCCAATGCCTACATACAGCAGAAAAGCAGCCACCAGGTGTCGCCACAGTCGCCACTTGGTCGCCACACAGATGTCGCGCGCGTCGCCAATCGCCACACTACCGATTTCCATAAGGACGCATATGTACGGATATGTATAGGAAAGTCGCCCTTAAGGATTACGCTTACATCCTTTGCTTATGAGGTCGGTGGTTGGAAATTGGGAGGGGCTCAGCTATTTTCGACCACGGATATGCCTTTATCACATGATGAGGAACATGCTGATAAGCGTTTTATGCGTCATAACAGCACAAAAGTATTTTTAATCATTTTTCAAAAATAGCCGTTCTGCCGTATCTTTCAGTGCAAGGTGCCGTCGGTCATCCCCGACGTGACGTCACGCAGGGAATTTGCCAGATTTTCCTACTAGACTTCGACACCCCCTGATAGATTGATCGATTCGGAACAAGTTTAATTCGACTTTCGTATTATTCGGATTTTGCCTATTCGTAACTTAACCGGTCGATCGGGTCGGAATTCGATTCGTTCGCAACATTTTTTGGTCCTCCGGGCCGGATAACGTAATTTGTGTTGTGTGTCGTCTCGTTCGCTCTAACGTAATGTTCACGAATAACGTAGCCTTTGAGCGTTATATCGTCGTTCGCTCTAACGTCATTATCGTGAATTGAATTACGTTTTTGAGTTTCGCATCGTTCGCACTTAGCGTAATGGCCACAGATAACGTAACGTTCCGCGCATTGGATGGCTTCTAAGCATAACAACGTATGCTCTGAATGATCGTGCTGCTCAACATCAGCAAATAATCAACATGGATCAATCACCCGAAGCAGCAAGATTGAAGCGGATCCGAGCAAACAAGAAGTCGTGTTTGACACGCATCTGCAATCGAGCCGAGAATCTGATGGCAGTTCGAGGCAGTCGTACCATTCTCCAAGAGCTGCTCGGTGATATTGACCGTGCAATGGACACAGTGACTGACTCCAATGAGTCATACTTGCTGGTATTGACGGACGAGGAAGAGAAATCGAAGGCAAACGAATACATGATTGAAATCGAAGCTCAGCGGAACAGTATCGTTCAAAAGATAATGACTTACCTTCAATCGAGATCTGACGAGGCCGCTTCTGAAGCTGGTGTAGCAGCGTCCCATCGTTCGACGGCAGCTGTGGCTCAGTCACATGAGGCTGTGATTCAGGCCCGTCTGACCGCCTTGAAGAGTCGCCAGGAAGAAAAACGACTTCAGTGCGAAAAGGAATTTAACCTGAAGATTCAGGCGGCTAGAGAAGCGGCTGAAACAGCCGAACTTGAAGCTCGACTGCGGCAAGAAGCCACTGAGTCAGGGACAGTCAATCTGGATAGAACTGATGACATCAGAGACGAAGCTGCTGTTGCCGATTGTGAAGTTGAACATGAACGCGCGAACGTTGGTGACAGCAACCTGAGAACAGCAGACTGGATCAGGAGGCTGAACAGTCCTGAGGCCTCACCAGCTCAACAGAGAGAGACGACAGCGCGTCACACCGAGCTCCACAGCGTGCCGCGCATAGCACTGCCGAAGTTCTCGGGTGAGCCTCTGGAGTGGCCAAAGTGGATTGGACTTTTCGAGGCGCTGATTCACAAGCAACCAGGGCTGTCAAACGCAGAAAAAATCGTTCATCTACAGTCGGCAGTCACTGGTCTGGCGCAGAAAACAATCGAAGGCATGCTTTACGATGGCGAGCTCTACCCGCAGGCGCTACAAGCTCTCCAAAGTCGATTCGGCAGGAGTGACGATATCGTTTTTGCACACCTGAGGGCTGTTTTCGAGAGCCAGCCTCTGAAGCACCTCGACGCAGCAGCCCTAGAACAGTTTCAAGCTCGTCTCCATTCCGCGGTTACGACTCTCCAATCGCTCGGCTATCATGGTGACGTCACGAGCCGCGAGAACTTGCGACGAGCAGTCGTGAAGCTGCCGATTCAACTCCGTCACGAGTGGGGAAAACGAGCAGTAGAGCTGGAGCCAAGGCAAGTCACACTGTCGGATTTGGATGACTGGCTAGCTCTACAAGTCCGGATATTGCTCAGCAGCTTAATGTCTGAGCGTGAAGGACACAGCGGCATCAGCGCAGCGGCAGACAGTCAGCGCCGACCGCCGGCATCGCGTCAGAGGCATGGATCGAGTGCGCGTTCGGCTCTCGCCACGGTGGCCACTCAGCATGGCTCCCAGCCGGCGTGCCCCCTCTGCAATCGCCGACACGACTTGGCTCGCTGCAATGCATTTGCCCAAAAGTCGGTGTCGGAACGAGCTCGATACATCGCTGACAATGACAGATGTTTTCGCTGCTTGGAGACGGGACACATCTCGAGAAGGTGCCCGTCCACATCTGTCCAACAGTGCAGTTCTGCCGGCTGTGGAGGCAGACACCACCAGCTACTACATGGCAGCCAGCGTGTTTTCGAGCGTCGTGGAACGGAGCAGGCTGCCGCGCTCGAGCAAACCCAACAAGATATGGATCCAGCAGAGCAGCACTCAACTAATCGCACGATCGGAGCCGCGCTGAATGCGACCAGAACGTCTACACTTCTTCAAGTCGTACCAGTGCGTGTGTACGGGCCAGACGGCGAGTGCAGTGACACGCACGCACTAC